GGTGGGGAGGTATTCGAAGTAATTCTTTATTTTGGTATCATTGACATCCTCCAAGATTATGATTTCATCAAAAAATTCGAACATGCTTACAAGTCCTTGCAAGTGGATCCCACCTCCATTTCAGCTGTGGATCCAAAGCTCTACTCCAAAAGGTTCCGGGATTTCATGCATCGCGTCTTTGTGGAAGATGAGTAAGCATAAGAACCAAGGACAATCACTCACTAAACCTATCATCAGATCACCATTAACACACTGTTGATTGTTTCTGTGAACCCGACCCTGGCCCTGGCCTCGGACCCCCTAGAAGCACAGCTCTCGGGGCTCCTAAAACACGGCTTCAACGATCTTTATCTAAACCATCAATAGCTCGTTGAATCATATCGTACTAAACTACTAATACAATTTTTTATGGCGGCTGAATTTTTTGGGATCAGCCATTATACTGAAGAGAGAGATTAATCAAAGAGGGGTGAATACATTTTGTACATTGTAGGAAACAATAATGCATTTGGGTTGGGGAGCATAAATTTTGTATTTATTTTTTGTATCTTTTTTTTTTTTTTTTTTTTGGTTTTTTTGGAATTTTTTTAAATTTTATTTTTGTGTTTTCCCTTCCCTGGATTATTTTGCCAGGAGTAAAAAGAAGGAAATAGGAAAATTCAAAATAACTGTACAGTTAAAAAAAGGAAAGGGAAAGTTTGGATAACATAGTGAAATTATTTTCATATTTTTTTTTTGTAATTTTTTAATTGTAATGTGTAATTTTTTAACATAGAACTTTGATTTTGCTGACCAAAAAAAGCAACATTAATTCAAAAAATGTGGTTGGTTTGCTTTATGCAGTGAGGTTGGGTTATTAAAAGAAGAGCAACAAAAGCATAATATTAAAGAAGTGGGGATACGGACCCCCCATTTTCTATTCTTGTCCCCTCTTAAATTTGAAAGAAACAATTCTACATTGCTGGAGCCTGGAGATCTTCATAAATTATTTGGATAATTTTTTTATTTTCTAATTTTGGTGTATTTTTGATACTCTATTTAATGATTTATTTGGATTTTTCACTAAGATGAGACATTAGGACATTTTGTCTTTATGTTTAACCTAGTACTTGAATCTTTTTGACATTTTTTTTTTGTTTTTTTTTGACGAAGTTGACATATTGAAGAGATGTCAAGAGCTTGTGTCACTATTACAAGAACGTTCATTAGTGTTGGTTTATTTTAAAGATTATTTGCGTCTATTTTAGGGGTGATGTTAGAGAAAATAAGAAACGATCGTAAATAATGAAGGAAGTAATATAGAAATAGCGTTCATGAAATAGTGTTTGTGAATCATTTGTTACTCTTTCTCTCGCTATTAGTCCATTACGGCCCACTATTTTAAGTAGCTTTCACTATGATTTTTTGAAAACTTCACCCACTTTATGCCGCTTTCACCCTATCTTTATGAAATATTTGTAAGATGATGACTTTACCCGGCCGTCTTTAGCTTGCTCAAGAGTAGCGATCTATCACCCTCCTACATTCTGGACATGCTTGGATTGGAGGTAATATATTAAGAGGATAATAAAAGTCAAACTTGAAAAAACATAAGTAATTAAAAGTGTTGTTGTAGGAGACAAGGTATTTATAAATGAGAAAGATAGTCGTGCCACGAGGAAAAGAGAGAGATGGAGGAATTATTATCCTCATAATGAGGGTAATAGTTACCAACACTCTCCCTAGTGTAACTATTACCCCCAAAATGAGGGTATTAGTTCCTCTTTCTTCACCATCACTACATAATTTTCCTTATAATCACACCATCACTATCTCCTCCTTCCCTTCATTCACTTTTATTTTGCTTAGTTTGACTTTTATTACCCTACTAATACATCTCTCTCAATCCAAGCATGCCCTGAAAGTGATGGCGACAAATATATTAGAGCATTACAAGTTGCAACAAGACTGATAACTATCTAGGGTAGTGGTGCTCCAAATCTGAGTAATAATTAAAATTATCGCCCGTGGCTGCTATCAAGGACTTCCACGGTTTTTGGCTAACGAAGCAGATCCCAAGCCATATAGTTGACGGAGAAGGGCTTTGAGATCTACAAGCGACATGTGAAGTGAATTTGAATAAGATATACTTTCTTCGTTTCATTATAGTTGACACATTTTCTTTAGGCACATTTGCCACTGTGTTTAATAAATACTTTACTTTTCATTTCCGACCGTTAATAAGCATTTTATATCTTGTAATAGAGGCTAGAGTTTTAGAGAGAATATTTCATTAGTTTATTACGACATAAGATAAATAAAAACTTAATATTCATTGTTTTTGTCATCTAAAGTAGCTACTCATATGATATTCATTATTCACTTAAAGGTACAAATATGTTCAAGTTCAAGATGATTAAATGTAGAAGTAGAAGTATGAGATTGGTGACATGAAAACCTTTGAAATCTAAAATGTGAAATAATGAGTATTCGGGTATGAATGGGGCATCGCAGCCCAATAAAAACTCCGTATAGCTTAACTACTTTTTAACACCTCACTTATACAGTTCAAAAAAAAAAAAAAAAAAAAAATTACCATAATGTTATGATTGTTCACATTTATCATGAACTTATTGTTTTATCATTAAATATACAGATTTAAATAAGATTACTACGTACTGGTACAATTTTTTTTTTTACCATTACTGCTATAATCAATAACAACCAACTCATGATTGAATTAGGCTTTTTTTTTAATCATTATTATTATATTATTATTAATAATAATAAAGGTAAGAAAAGAAAAAATATTAGGAAACCCTCCTCACGACGGGAATTTATAATGCATCTGAGGAAAGAATGAGAATTAAACTAGAGTTATTACAAGGGATAATATCCATATTATCGCTAACTAAATGACCCGCATTTGTTATCCAATCTGCTGCTCTATTCGTCTCTCGGTAGATATGGTGAATGATCCAACTGTGAAACTGAGAAAGAAGAGCTCTAATATCGAAGATAATGTACTCGATCTCCCAAGGGATGGACGGGGTGAAACTAATGCAGTTTTAAACCGAACCAAACCGCAAATCGAATCGAATTAGAAATGCGGTGCGGTTTTTTTTTTTTTATCTAATATGGTTCCGTTTGGTTTGAGAAAAAAAAATTGCGGTTTGCAGTTTGGTTTCGGTTTTAGGATTTGAAAAACCGAAAAACCAAATTCCAAACGGAAATATGTCCCATATCCAAATTATAGGTCTTGTAAGACTTAGTCACTATCATTACTTCATTAGAAGTTAGAACATGTTATTTCATTATTTGCGATTTGACATTTGTTGGCTTTACTTTTTGATAATCAAACCTAAAAAACAGATTTTGAGTAATTAGGCCCATAAAAAGTTGCAAATTAAGGCCCAAATCACTAAGCCCAAAAATTGCGCTGTGGTTCGGTTTTTTTTTAAAAAAAACCAAATTTAAAACAGTGTGGTTTGGTTCGGTTCAATAGTAATATGGTGCGATGTGGTTTGAAAAATCTCAAATCCGTATTAATATGGTTTGGTTTCGGTTTGGGCTATAAACCACACCGCAAACCGAACTTTCACCCCTAGATGGACCAGATACCTTGGACTGCGTCGATAACTATAAGGTTGTCGCCCTCAATTTGAATATTGCGAATACCTTGTTGAAGAACTATGAAAATCCTTTGTGGAGCGTCGTAGCTTCTGCAATGAAGACTTTGGTATTATGATGATTGAATTAGTTGGTAAATTAGTTATTCCATCCCACAGATACACAACCTATGAGACACTTTAAAAATGGAGGGAGTATTAAACAAAATTCCCTTCCTATGGGTTCGACTAGTTATTGTTGTGTATATTGATAACGAATGACCTAGCATAGGGGTTCGAAAACATCACCCTCAATCTAATGTTGTAGTCGTTTTGACTATGGTTTTCTGTTTGGGTTTATTCCAAATCCCTTACGGGATAGAATAAACTTTGTTAGGTCACACTAAGACACTAACCTAGTCTAATTATTCCACAATCACGTAAAATGAGATTTAATTTAATTTAATTTAATCTAAAATAACATAAGAGAACATGACCTAAAAAGCAAGGGATCTAAAGCATGAAATGGTATAACTTGCTCTTTTCATAATCCAGTAGTATTGAAACTGTGATCACATGCCAGTGCTAATTTTAAAAGATTTAGTTACTGCCATAACGATTTGCTTGGTGTCCTACTTTAAGTAGAATAATCATGCTCATTACAAAAGACAATTACAATTCTCATGCTCTGTCTTATGTGCTTTTTCTTCCTTTATATTTTTCAGTGATGTGATTATGATTAACTTTACACTTCATAGATGACTAATATCCTAATCTACTTTGACCTTGACCAACTTAATTTTTTTTAACTCGAATTTCAGAGGCTTTGATCTACCCAACCTATTTTTACGGATCCTATTTTTTGGGTTTCAAAAAAAAAAAAAAAAAAAAAAAAAAAAAAAAAAAAAACTTTTCTTACTTAAGTTTTGTTAGATTAATAAATGAGGCTGCCCCACTTAATCTCCGCGATAAACAAATTTCGTTTATCACGGAGTAAACCGCTACTTGAGGTTTTGCAGTTTTGCCTTAAGGTAGCGGTTTTACCCATTTTCACCGCAAAAATTACGCTATTTTTCCATGATAAACACGGAGATAAACTTGTATTTCCTCTTGATAAATGGTTAATTAGAAGGCAGTCCCAGTTTCTCAACATGAGAAACAAAATTTGTTTCTCAAGAGATTAAATTTGGAAAATTATAGGCAAAATCCCTATTTTAAATAGTGTTTTTGCCGATGAACACTAAAAAAAAATGCATTTATTTACACAACTATGCCATTAGAGAAACATGTTTGTTTCTCATGTTGAGAGCCTTAGAATTTCTCAGTGAATTAGACTCATTTTCATTGAGATATACATCCTCCATTGATGTATTCTTGAGAGTTGGTACACAAACCAATAAAAAGGAGGGAGAGTAAAGATTTTACATAATTGCACACACGTTAACTTTTAGCCATAACATGTAAAGTAAAAGGTGGAGTTGGTCCCATCCTACCCTTTTCCCTAATCTATCTACTTAACCACTTAATGACATTATTATCCGACCAAATTGTAACCCTTTTAAACCTTGATTAATTAACTAACCCTTCCACCACCTCCACACCACCTCCAAAAGCCACCCTACCACCTCCGGCAGCTCCCCTACCGTGAAACACACTTCCTTCTCGATCCCCCACCACGAAACCCACCCCTACCACCTCCAGCGGCTCCCTTAACGTGGCTGGGCTGTTTCTGGGAGTTGGGGGAAGGGGAGGGGCGGTAATCGGGGTTGGGGAAAACAGAGGCGATGGGCTTTGAGGTTTGGGGCAAGGGGTGGGGTGGTAATTGTGGTGGGGGAGTAGAATGGGGGTGGATTTCTTGGTGGGGAGATGGGAAGGGGTCAGTTTCACGGTGTGGGAGCGGGAGGGAGGTGGGTTTCGTGGTGGGGGAACGGGAGGGGGTGGGTTTCGCGGTGGATGAGCAAGAGGGGGTGGATATCGTGGTGGGGGAGCTGCCGGAGGTGGTAAGGGGGGCTGCCACAGGTGGTGTGGAGGTCGTGCAAGCTAATTAATTAAGGGTTAAAAGTTACTCCCTCCGTCCCTTGTATTTTGCTCCATAGTGTAATGTTATTTTATTAAGTTTTGGTTGGAAAAAAGTGATGAGAGAAAAAAAATGGTGGGGTTGTGAGAGTAGAAATGTAGACCCATATGTCCAAAAACAGAATGAAGCAAAATTAAAGGGACACCCTTAAAAGGAAATTGGGGCAAAAATTATGGGACAGAGGGAGTACTAATTACAATTCGACCAAATAATGATGTCATTAAGTAGGTTGATTAGGAAAAAAAAGTAGTAGTTTCTAGAATTAATCAATTTTAGGGGTAGTAATTAACAACTTTTTTTTTAGGGGTATTAATTCACAAATGACATTTTTAGGGGTAGTAATTGACAAAATTTCCATAGATTTAAGACACCAATACAATCAATATGGGATTCTCAATCCATACCTCCTTTTTATGGGTTCTCAATCCGTTCCATTCAACTGATTTGAACCAAAAGCCCCTTCAATGTCACTAGACCAATGTTACATGATTATGTCAATTTTTATTAAAAGAGTTGAAGAGTAAATATTTGACTCCAACATTCATAAGAAGTCTAAATAACTAATAATAATTATGACCAAGTTAAACCGCCCTAAATACTACATACAATATTAGATGATCTAAAATATGCCTGCAAACCCATTACAGTGCAGTTAAAGATCAACAAGCTAATGCAGCCTATAAAAGATCTTCATGTCAAAATGGAAGAATTCACTTGGAGGGGAGGGAGGATCTTCGGGATCACTCTGAATATTTCAACGTCAAAGACAGTTGCATCATCCTTCGGGTTAGCAAGCTTGAAGAGTAGGACGTCAAATTCTTCCAAGGAGTTTTCGAAGGCAAATTTCTTCCACCCACCACAGAGTCCTCCCACACATCTTTTCCCATTATAATAAAACTTGGTGTGCCATATATTATCTTCCACTCGGAGAACGATGTCCTGGTTTTGGAGAGCAAGGTGCTTGTTCATCCATTCTGCAGGAATGCTCTGGCAAAGAGAACATCACAAAAGAAATTTTCACAGTTATGATGTTAAAATTCATTACTCCCTTTGTTACTAAATAGCTGTTGTTTTCATGATTGAACTATGGTTGTAGGTTTATAACAAGATATATTATGAATGTAAGTTTATATATGAAATACAGCAACATAATTTTATCAATACGCTCAAAATTGAACCTAGATACACTGCAGCAAAGCTTATATGGAGTAGTAACGGAGGGATTTATATGAACGAATTGATAGAATTGGTAAGGGATCAATACCAAGTAAAACCTCCTGTAAACACTACTAGGTCGCATCACAACAGTGAAACTTTTTTCAGTTCGTTCTTGGGTAGCCCTTCGCAAAGCATCCTCTTTCTCCATCTCAGTCACTGCCCTTCTATTGGACACATACTCGGGGTACCCCTTTTCAGATGAAACTATTTCAGGGCACAAAAAGCAGGTTAAGCCTACAATGATGTATCAACACCAGAACAACAAGACACAAAATTTTCACCAAAAATCGAGATTAACATTTACTTGTATATGTTTTACCTGGTACCATAATTTTTATTGTAGTAATAACAAAACTTTAAAATAGAAATGATTTTTCAGTAACATTGAGGTGACATAAGTTCATTAGATAAGAGAATTACCACTTCTGGACACCTGTTTCATTGACGACATGGGAACTGCCTGCTTCTTTGGTCTGCCTCTTTTCCTTCTATGACTGTGAGAATCATCTGCCGTCGGGGAACATTCTTCAAAATTTAGAACTATTGGCTTGCTACCCAAAACTTGACTTATTTTTTCTGCTGTACCATTTTCACTTGGCTCCTTTCCTGCCAAATTTCGTGCATAGTCAATAGTGATGTAGTAACTTTCTAATATCTACAAGTATGTAATAATACATCACAATGCTTACCAGATAATGTTTTAGATTTGTGGTGATTATTCATCTCTAAGGAACCTTCTCTATCCTCAGGGGTGCTCCAGTCTCTGCCTGAATTTGTACCTGGTTTTTGGGCAGTGTCACTTCCGCTAGGATTCTTGTCTGCTAAAAATATCCAAAAAAAAAAAAAGAAAAAGAAAAAAAGGATGAATTCATAACTTCTTAACTATGATACACAATTACACAGGCACAAGGAAGTTTAATATACCCTCAGTTCAAAATTATGGGTCCAAAGATCAAGCAATTAAGCATAATTATGATAATAGAATACTTCTGATAAAATACATAAATCGTGACATAATTTAGATTTACTTGTACCTACTTTTGATTAAAATTCGTATCTCAAGTCCAATTTTGAATACAAATCACATGTATAAGGACCACACTCTCGTTGGAGTGCTGAGGGTCCAGCACAGTTATTCAAGATAAATAAGAGCCAAGTACCATAACTTCACAGTATTACACAAAATAGTTAAATAGCTACTCATTTCAGGATAATATGATATAACTAACAGTTACCGATTTGGTCCTTCAACTTGTTAGAATGATCTTTCTCGGGGGAACTTTCTCCATTTTCAGGGGTGTTCAGGTCTCGTAGTGAAACCTGACTCACTTCATGGGTAGCTTCATTTATGCCGGGCTTTTCCTCTGCAAAAAGATGTACACAAGGATATTCAACACACTCTTTATTTTATGATAAGTAGAAACTTCTTTCAAGAAACACGAAACACAAAATATAAGGTTCTTACTAGATTGGGCCTTTGATTTACTCCAAGAATTGCATGGTTCTTTTATCTTTCTTGGTCTGCCTCTGCCATTTTTTTTTATAACCAAATTGGACGTCTGATTCCTAGGATTTTGAGTGTTCTCTCGTCCCAAACAGTTTACCTCCCCATCAACATTATTCTTAGACTTCTTCGATACAACATATGCAGAATCATCATCTATATTGTCTCCAATTACATTGGTGTTTGAACCTTCTCTCACAATTCTCTTCTTATGATTTTCATGTACAGGCTTGGGGTGGCTGCATTTCTTTATAAAATAGGATGCTTCCTCTTCACAGAAACTCTCTTGGTCAAAAATTAAGACCTCAAAACTTGAGTTACGCTTATACTTAAACATCAAGAGACAATTTTCTCTAAGTTCATAAGTTTTCACAAAGTCCTTCCACTCATTCCCGACAAGCAGCACATTATCAGTTGTCTGAATATCCACATGACCACATGCCATACATTACCACTGGGGCCTTTGAGAGACAATTTGTCTGGTAAATGGGTTTTCATATGCATAGCAAATTTCTCAGGCAATACCTGTTTGTTCATGATCAAGTTCATATTACACAGGAAAATGTATCAACAAGGCCATCTTCTATACAAATAAAAAGTATAATAATCGCCGTTCAATAAAGATGGCCAAGTTTGGAATTATGAAGATAATTCATGAACGGGTACCACAAACTTTCATAAAGCATAACAAACAGGCCAAAGGTGTACTCAATACATAGTAAATTCTTCAAGTACACTGAAATTTTAACCCTCACACAGCCACTCAATTGGAGTAAATGTATACAATCAACAAATTCCCATCATGCAGTGAACTAAATAACTCACCCCATGTACACAGATTCTATCAAGCAAATCTCTATCAAACAAAATTCAAGCTGTACGTAGTTAGGCTTTGTTTCACCTTTCATCATTCTTTACATGTCCTTCCCAAATCACCTTAATACCTATGCAAACTTCACTAAGGGCATTTATACGATAGGTCACCTGTTTGAATCCCCCCAGCCCCTTCCCTATTCCTCTTTTGTAATTTGTAATGCCCTAGTGATTCATTCGAAAAATAAAAATACTTATCAACCCATCACTCCTACTCACTATTGAGTCCATAATATGTACAAGCACATTTAATTTATTAGCCTAACAACAATCATTAACACTTTACATTCAGTACCAATTTAAGACAGTCTTTCCCACTGAAATCAAATCAAATGCAAAAATGCATGTTTTCAAGAGCAAATAACTATAATTCCCAAACAACTCAAAACCTAACATGTTGCATATTATAAAGGCATATCAACAAACATTTTTGCACATTAAATGGCTAAAATTTTCGGCACAATTTAAGATATGGAATTCTGGATTTTATAATACTTGTATTAATTAAAAATAGTTAACATGAAATTGACAGCAAAATTCTGAAAAATTAAAAAACTAATATAAAAAAAAAAAAAAAAAAAAAAAAAAAAAAAAAAAAAACCTAACAAGATGATCATGGAAGTTTTGGGGTAGAATTTGATAAAAATGCATGGAATTGAAATGTTTCCAATACATCTCTTCTTCCCATGTCCTGCAATTCTCACAATCTGATTTCTCCTCCATTGTTGCTCAAATTAATCACCTACAAAAAATCAAACATAAAAATAATCAAACACCCAAAAAATAAAAAATATTTTTTTAAAAAAACAATCTGGAGTAGAAGAGAAGATTTTACTCACAAGTGACGACCCAGAAGCTAGATTGAAGAAAAACACACTTTTTCAGAAACTTTGAAGTGTTTGTACCTCGAGATTAGTGATTTGTGACAAAGATTATAGGGTGTGAAATTTGCCAATGGGATGTTTAATGTGTTTTTTGCATGATACAGTAGAAATGCAATTTATTTTAAAGACAAAATCTTTGGAATTTGACATATTCTTTACCTTCCCTAGATAATAGAACTATACAAATTGACAAATTGTAACAGCTTATTGGCTTCAAATGGTGGTCCGTATCAGGCACGAGAAAAATACATGTATGTGTACACACACTCAAGACTATTGATATTTTTAGCCAAGGTCATGGCACGCAAGCTTGTCACGAGGCATAACGCAGTTCGGCTCTCAACCCTCCTTAATCAAAATAAAACTTGTGATTTATGCAAATTACGAATCTATTAATATACTAAGTAAAAATGAAGGAAGTATTCTTATAAACCACTTTTTTTGGTGTAAATCTATCAATACATATACGAAGTATAATTTTAATAAAATTTCTACAATCAATAACATAACATAATACTAAAACAGACACCAGGAATTGACACGAATCTAATTTTTTTTAATTAACCATTGATACACAAGATTTCCCATATATTTATTCAAAAAAAAATAATATTTACTGTTTCGGGGTTTTCTGATGTCCTGCGGGAGAGTTACAATTCCGAGACTGGAACCGGACGCCTGTACCTGCAAAATAACGGAGACTCCTGAGAGCTCCGCCTCCAACGGTCAAGTTAGTACCTGATTAAGGAGTAATTAATACAGAAATTAAAGTAATAAGGTCTCTCTAGGTGAGAGTATTTAATGTAGGTAATCTGCTTTGCTAGCGAGATCAGCCGGTTATTAGTGTGTTCTGTAAATTATTCGGTCCCCTGATTAATGAGGATTAATCGAGTATTTATAGCCTTGGGAAGCGTGCAACTCTCTAGGTTTAAGGTAAACCTAGGGCCGAACGGGCTTCTAGACTGAAATGGGCCTTGATGGCCGGTTGTCCCATTTGGCATGGGTGGACACGTGGCGTGTCTTAAGTGGTCCGTGGAGGACGCGTGGCGGAACCTGGTTGGTCCACTTGTCAAACGGCGCTTGGTGGATAAAAATCCCCTAATCATTTGCCCCTCACAGGTGGCACGCGACTGGTCACGTGTCGCCTGTGACAGGTGTCGCACGGTGACAGGCGACGGCCCGTTACAGGTGTCACCTTGCAGACGGCCGGGAGATTCTCCCGCCCAAATTTGAATTCGGAAGCGACCCTTCGCCTTCTCATTTTGCCTATAAAAGGAAGTGCTGACTTCGGTCATTTTCACATTTGAGAATTTTTGCGAGAACATTCGGACCCCTGAACTTGCTCTGACATTTTCGGACTTTTTCTGCCTACCGCCTGTTCTGACAAGCCGACTGACCCGAACTTCCAGGACTTCATCAACTGTCATCCGTTCAGGTAACTCAGTTCTCTTACTCTTAATTTTCTTTTTATTTTTTGAAATGGCACCATGGAAGCACACGACACGCCCTAAGTTAGTGATCAGCCGGTCACCGGGGACGGCTGAATCTAGGACTAGGAGTGCCGCCTGCCCTTTTCTGGACCCATCTTTGCCCTTTATACAAAGTCCGACTGAATCTGTGTCTATGCAGAACGTGATGGCCAGAACAAAAAAGACTGCTAGAATATCAAACTCAGACGGCTCCTCCCAAAGGGTACTCCTTAGCGAAACATCTGACCAGGCGCCAGATGTGGAACGAGGCGACTGTCAAGCTGACAGTTCTGAGAGAGGGACCAAGGTGTTCCCTTCTCATCTAACCGTGGACATGTCCAATTTACCTTCTGCTCCTTCTAAGGGAGAGGAGGCGGGCCCCTCTAGGAGAGGGGAGGAGTCGTCCTCTTCGGACTCGTCAGGGGACGAGTCCGATTCCAGCTCTTCTGACCATAGTTCTTCTGACTCAGAAGAAAAACATAACCGCCTACAAGAGGCGAGAAGTTCCCATGCAGTGGAGAAGGGGGATAATTGGGCAGAGCCGTCCGCCTCTTACAGAGAGGAAAACACCCCCTACTACTGCAGGGTGCCCCGGGGCCGGATCGCAACCATGCGAGACAACGTGGCGAGCTTTATTGCTAACCACAAAATGGGCCCGGAGTATTTACTGTTTGTGCCGGATCCAGAAGATACTGTCGTCTGGCCGGCTGGTACCAGCTATGGTGACGGCTGTTTTGGCTGCTATGTGGCGGCCATCAAAGCTGGTCTGCGCTTCCCATTACATCCGGCTGTTCAGCGGATTTTAGATGGGTATGATCTGGGGTTATGGCAGTTAGCCCCCAACTCTTGGGTAAACGTACTCGGCTATGTGGCCGGGTGCGAACTGAACGGGGTGGAGCCAAGTTTTGAGGCTTTCGCCCACATGAACTATCTCAGCCGGACCCCTAAGTCGGGAGGTACCGGCTGGTATCAACTAACAAGCCACAGGGGTTACCTCATGACGAGAGGTAAGGCAAACAAATGGAAGGATTGGCGGAACACCTTCCTTATTATCGAGAGTTCAGACACGGAGCTGAACAAACGATTTAACAAGTGGAACAGGGATCCGCCTCTTCTTGCAGGCGGCCGCAGCATGCCGCCTGTTCCCCCAAAGGCTAAAAGAGAGATCCTAGACAAAGGACTCTTCAAAGTAGAGACTAGGGTGAACTCTACTTCAGGGGTACGAGAGCAAGTACCCCTACACTGCGTCCCGAGCTTCAAGTGGCTCTATGATGAGTACTTCTTGGCCGCCTGTGGCCTCGGCAGTCGGTGCTCTAGAGGTAGCCGGCCTGACGAATACTCTGTTTTTTCACGCCTTGTTTACTTGGGATTTTTACTAACTTTGCTGTTTAATTCTTTCAGCCGACGCCATGAGTAAAATAACAGCGTCTAAAACTGCGGCGGCCATGCTGCGGGTCTCGCTAATGAAGCAGTCGTATGCCGACTCCCCCAGCAAGGAGGCACCCTTGGTAAGCCTTGAAAACTCTTCTCCTTTTAGTTGTATTATGCATATACTAACTCTTTTTGTTTTCAGTCTGGCACTCCAAGGGCTTCTTCCTCGCAACAGCCGGACCCCAAGGCCCGGAGGACGACTGTTGCAAGCTCTCCTGGGTCTTCCAGGAAAACAGTGGCGGCTGAGAAGCAGCCGGCCACTTCTTCAAAAACCCAGGCGGGGCCGCCTAGATGTATGGACACTTGCTTGTAAAAACTCACTCTTGCTTCCTTCTTGATTAGGTCTAACTTGTTTTTCCTTTTGCTTAATGCAGCCGGCCCCCAGGGACTTGACTTGGTTGAGGTAGCCAAGTCAATGGTTAAAGTAGTTCCTCCCTCTGACAGGGAGGCGGTCAAGGGTGCCGGCACCCTTGACCTCGATGGAATTTCGGGGATCCTAGCTGAGGTATACCCTTTTGAAGTTCCAGGACGCCTGTTAACCCTTATGATTGGAAACTGACGCCTGTTTTTCTTTGTACTTAGGCCCTGCTCCGAGTCAACAGCCTTCGCAAGCCGATTGATCGGAAAAACAAAGAGGTAAAGGCCGCAAAGGCTATGGCCGCCTCCAGCTGTGATAAAGCAATGTTTCAAATTGCCCAAAATGAAGTACTGACCATTGATCTTCTTTATTATCAGGCGCAGGCGACCGCCGCTGTTCGGGCTCAGCTAGAGGCGGCCCAAAAGAAGGTTGACGAGCTGGAGGGGACCGTCACCAAACTTAAAGCCGAGCTGAAGCCCCTTCGTCAGAAAATGCACTCTTACGAAGCCATGGAGAAATCTTTGGCTAACGTAAAAGAACGCCTGGTGAACCAGGAGAAGAGTCTTACCCAAGAGCTCTCGGACAAGGCCGAGCAAGAGAAACAAGAGCTCGTCCGGGAGATGGTGGAAGACTCCGCCCAAATCCAACGCATGACCTGGGAACGACTGTTCCCCAGTGCCGACTTTGCCTCATGGGAAAGAACGTACCGCCAGTGTTCGGAAATATATAATCAACAGATCCTGGCGGCTGCTGAAGAAGAGGCGATGGACGTTGCGTTGGAGGAGGAAGAGGCTGTTGTGGCGCTTGTGCCACTTGGGGGTAAGGCATCAAAAGATGATGCAGCTAAGGCCGAGTCCAGCAAGAAGAGTGCTGACCAGGCGGCTGCTGCTGATACTGAACTGCCCCCTTCTTAAGCTTTAAGTATATTTTTTCTTTTCACGGCCTGCGTGCCGTTTGCTTTGTAATTACCCGGCCAGGGGGCCGGGGTTTTGAATATTCTGCTGGTCTTTTATGGCCGGCTCATTTTAATCAAATTTTTTGTTTTTGTTCAAATTTGTCTAAGTATTTGAAATTTGCTCACTAGACAGACTGTTGTGTATGGCCGAACGTTAAGACAGGTACAAATAGTAAGTATGCCGCCTATGCCCCTGGACGACTGGTTGTCTGTTTCCAGGATAGATAATCAGTCGGCCATTTAATCAATCGGTATTCGAACTCTTTATTCAATTTGACCAAGTAAATAGAATTACCAAGTAGCCAAGGAATTTAAGTAGGAAAACAAGCGGCGGGTACCGGTTGTTTCCCTTTATTGCCAATGTTGGCCTCTAATTTGTTATTTGTTAACCTAGCAAGAGTATTGGTTGAGAGCCTTTGTTTATAAAAACAAGTGGACGACTCGTACCTTTTAGGCTCAGTACTAAGTTTGAGTGACTATTAAGTTAACATAGGAGTTACTTAGTCTTCGTCACAATCTTGATTGAGTAGTAAAGGTATCAGGCGGCGTAGGCCGGCTAGACCCCTTGATTTACCAATGTTTGTTGGCTATTTACTCAATAGGTTATCCAGTAGGAATAGGGGTTCGAGTGCCCTTGTTTGTATAAAACAGGCGGACGACTCAAACTTTTTAGGTTCCATACCAAATTTGAAGGAGTGACTATGAGTTAACTTTGGAGTTACTCAGTCGCCGTCACTTTTGTTTGAGAAGTAGAGGTACCAGGCGGCGTAGGCCGGCTAGACCCCTTTATTCGCCAATGTTTGTTGGCTATTATCTCAATAGGTACCCCCTGCATTTATCCCAAGTAATACAGGCGGTCATCTGACTCAGATGTCAACTGCTACCACTGGTTTGGTTAGTGATAGAGTTATCCTTGTCTCAAAAACGGCTACGTGGTTGCCCTTTGGGACAGTCGTATAGGTGCCGT